TATATAAGCGATATACACAAGCCACGTGTAAAGATATTGAAAGAGGCATGCATAGTTTAGTTCAATTGAATGTGTTATTTATAACAATAGTAGTTTTTTAAGAAAACATAACTATTTATAATGCTTCCTAAATAATAATAAAAAAGTACAATGAAAGCAATGAAGATTTTGTAGGTTTTAAACCAAACTAAATAACAGTAAACCTTTTTTTTGATTTACGGTATTTTCTCATTTTGATGTTTTGAGCTCTTTTGTGTTTAGTACAATATATACTAATTTTTAAAGTATCAAATTTAATTTTTGTTCAATAAAAATCTTTCAAATGCGACTGTAGCTTTTTTTCCCCAAAACTTTGTCCTCGAAATAAGGGTGCGTCTTATATTCCGAAAAATACGGTAATATTACTCTTATCAACAAACAGCCTCTATTCTTTGTAGTGAATTCATGGCGAACTAGAGCACGATAGTATTAGGTATAAAGAATTATTGGCCAGCTCTTTCTCCTCAACAGTTTTGGCACATGATATTTTACTATATCTCTAACCTCTATTTTAATTTTCAACTATTTTTGTCAAAATTAAATAACTACATATCGATCATTTTATCTAAACCATGATTAAAGTCTTAGCAACTATATTGTGTATTTGTCATTACTTGGCCCGGCATGCCCAGGTGGTTAGGACGCTCGACTCGCAATCTGCGGGTCGCGGGTTCGATTCTCCATCACACCAAACATGCTCGCCCTTTCAGCCGTGGGGGCGTTATAATGTGACCTGTCAATCCCACTATTCGTCGGTAAAAGAGTAGCCCAAGAGTTGGCGGTGGGTGGTGATGACTAGCTGCCTTCGCTCTAGTCTTACACTGCTAAATTAGGGACGGCTAGCGCAGATAGCCCTCGTGTAGCTTTGCGCGAAATTCAAACCAAACCAATTGTCATTACTAAGGTGGATATAAAATTCAGGGGAGTTTGTTTGTAATTAAGCACAAAGCTACACAATGGGCTATCTGTGCTCTGCCCACCACGGGTATCGAAACCCGGATTCTAGCGTTGTAAGTCCGCAGACAGACCACTGTACCACTGGGGAGCACTTAGGGGGGGGAAGGTAAACTTAGCCTACATTATTGTTCAAGATCGGTACCAGAAATAGACCTATGTATGTGAAATCTATATCATGTTAAGCAGTATTTTTAACCACTGCTAGCAGAAGTGAATTTCTTTGTTGCAAGAGACTCAGCAGAAAGCTAGAGGAACTATAACGCTAAAATTCGGCGTTCAATATCCACGATGGGAACAACGCAAATAGCCCATTGTGTAACTTCGTGTTTAAATATAGACAAAAAATTAAGTAGAGCAAATGAAATACAGAGTTATATCTTATAGCTCACGATTGGGCGATATTATTACATTTTTTAATTTCTTCAAAATATTATAAAATTTCGTCACCTACTTAAAAAAAATCACGTTTCTTAACAAAATCTATAAATATAAAAGATGAAGTTTGTTTATTTGTTTATTTTGTTCGCTATACGAAACCAAACAGTTGAACTTACAAATTTTAAAATCACTTCATAATAACCAGTTTTTTACAAGAAATTTAATGGTGCTATTTATTTTGTATTTGGTGTAGTATGTAATGATGAATTTGACAATTAATAATTATTGCGCCATTTTTTTGTAATAAACGTACAAACATAAGCACATTTTGTACATAGAAAGCGTTATGGCGGGAGACACTCAGATCACCTTGCTGTCAATTCAATATTTCCAAAAACAGTTTTCTTTAAATAGTGCTAAGTGGTTTCATAAGTGATTTGGT